GTTGTGGGGTTGTTAACCAATGTCATAAAACAATATGTGTACTACTGTTTCATGAGAAACTATTTGTTCTGTAAGCCTTCACCTGAAACACAATTAAAAAAAAAAATACTAAAAATCTGATTAGTACATGTTCCTTTCAGGAAATTTAGCTATTTATACAACCAAGAAATATTTCAATCATATACAGAAAAAATGAACAGTAATATGTTTTGAAAAGGTATTTTATTAGTGGTTTAAACGTTATGAATTATAATACTGATATTAGAAATTCCTAAAACATTGTATTTCAGAATAAGGATTACTTTTTATGACAAAGTCATGTTTATATATCATTTTAGTGTACTAAACTCTGTATACTAGAAAGAGCAAATATTTTACATTACCTACAACCTTTTAAGCCAAAGAATAAGCTTCTGACTTATGATAGAGTTGCTATAAATGCATTTATTAACTATGAAAGGTCATATATAATCCTTAAAAAGGTTTATCACTTTAAAGAATTTATGTTTTCTTTAAGTTATCACTTAAACACTCTAAATTTCACTAATCAAAAAAATTCACTGGCAAATTCTTTTATAAAATAAAGGGTAAACAATTCAATAAATATTATGGTGTGCCTTTTCTACCAAACAAAAAATATATCCAATGAGAGGCCTGCAGAGGTGAGCCTCTGTATTAAAGACTGTTCCAATCATCTGGGTTGGTAAGTATTAAAAACAACTATAATACAATTCTAACTGAAATGCAAATAAGTATAAGTTCTCAACCCTGGCTGCATATTAGAATCCTCTAGAAAGTTTACAAAACACAAAGGCCCAACCTCTACCAGTCTCCTTGTAACACCCCCGCTCCCAAGAAATTTTGATTCATCTGTGGTGAGGACCAGCATCAATATGTTTTAAATAGCCCCTAGGTAATTCTAGCATAGCAAAGGATGAAAACCAATGTTGGGTTAGTCTCATGGAGTCCGTGGGGGCCACTCTGAGTGTAAAAATTTATATAACACATACACTGATAATGAAAGCAATGTTCTTTTCTTTGCCTCGCTCCCCTCCCATAGGCTTCAAATCATTGCTACCACTTTTAGAAAAAATGGGAGGTGACTGGCGCTTTTAAAGAATGTGTACAGTTATAAGCAGAAAAAGAGAAGAAGGTTAGGGCAGATGTCAGATGGGGCAAATCCCCAGTAGGGTTGTTTTTCCTACGCTATATTTTTCCTCCAAATGACTGAATTTTTCCCCCATTTTATTTTCTTATTCTACCTGAAATTCCATCATTCATGGATTCAATCGTCTTAACAATCATCCTCATACAAAAATGCTAATAGCCCAGAGATACCAGTTTCCCCTGTAAGTCTGTTTAATAAGATTATTTGTCTTCCTAATGCTAGGACATCAGGTGAATTTACGGAATCAGTGTTCTAAAAATGAAGATGGTACTCGAGACTTAGGACAGAAGAAAAAGTGAAATGAAAATATGAGAAACTAGACTAAATGGGCTTTAAGATCCCATCCAGCTCTAAGATTATAAAATTCTAAGAAGATGCCAAAGACAAGCATCTCCTTCTCTTTTCCTCTCCTACATTAAAAGATTCTCTCCTCCTAAGACAAAGACCTCAGGCTAGTGCAGCTAATACTTTAAGAATTCACTGTCTTTACTTTTATGAGTACAAACTATACATAATTTTAGTCTGGCTGGATTTCTGGCAAGCCACGAGTAAATGTTGTGTGCCTTCGAGTCAATTCCGACTCATAACAACAACCAGTATAACTTCTCCCATAGGGTTTCCTAGGCTGTAATCTTTTACAGGAGCAGATCACCAGGTCTTTTTGCCCACAGAGTCGCTGGTGGGTTCAAAGTGCCAACCTTTTGGTTAGCAGCCCAGTTCTTAATGTTTGCACCACCAGGGTTCCTTAAATCTCCTTAGAAACAGTAAATATTAACTATGCATATTAATCAGCAAGCATTAATCTACCTAACAAGCTGCTGAAGAAGAGTAATGTTATTACAAGAATCATTAGACTACTGAGAGTAATTACAACAATCAAACTTTAACTTGAAAAGCATTTTAAAATTGATACAACTAAAGTAATACTTAAAAAGAAATGTGTAGTCTTAAATGTTTATATTAAAAAGAAAGAAATGTTGAAAATTAATGAACGAAGCATTCATCACAAAAAGCTAAAAAAATTTCAAGCAGAGGATAAAAGAGCAGAAATTAATAAAATAAAAAATAAACATACTAGAGAGGAAAAACGAAGCCAAAAGCTGTTCTTTGAAAAGACTAATAAAAGTAATACACCTCTGGCACAATGATAGATCACGAACAAAAGAGAAAAGCCCCCACCCAAAAAAAAATTTTAAAAGGGGATGTAACTATAGGTACTGGGAATATTTTTAAAAATAATGGGATATTAATGAGAAACTTGATACAAATCAATTTGAAAATTTAGATGAAATGAAAAAATTCCTAAAATATGATCCCACCAAAAACTGACTCAGTAATTTAAAAATTTAAGCAACTAATTCAGCATGTGAAATAAATACCCAAAATGAAATCCAAACTTAACACTTGATGTGGATTTGTGTGAGGTAAACTAGCGTTGCATGAGTTTACAAAACATTAATAACCAAACCTGTATCTGAGAAAGTTCCAAACCTGTATCTGAGAAAGTTCCAATTTTTCCATATTCCACTATTTAAGTAATAAATCAATAGCTAAGCAATAAAGCTGGTCTCCGGTATGGCCAAAATGAAGATTATCATCACTCAGTAACTATCAGTAGTGGATTTAATGAGAAAATAAACCAGAAAATCATGGAAATAGAAACTATATGTATAATCAGAAATATTAGAGAAATAAGAAACTGTATATTAATAAGAATTCCTTCCAAACTTTTTAAAACTCCTTGAAAATCGAATGAAAACTATAAATGCTTCCCCGATAAAACTACAAGTATGCACAAACTTCTGAATTTCAAAGGGCTCAAGGATTCCCCTGATACTCATATATGACATTGGTAGGAATTCCAGGTAAGTAGAACTTCAGGGCGCTTAAGAGTCAGTAAAAGTAACATAACAACAACAAAAAAATTTAAATGTCATCTCTATGAGATCAAAATGAAATGCAAATATTGAGTTAAAATTACCAACAATCATAAAGTGAGGTATCTGGAGATAAACTTTTAAACTGAGAGGCTGAATTTAAATTATATGAACCAAATCAAAAGAAAAATACAGGTTTCTAAAGAAACATATTCTTTAAGATCCACCTCAAATGGCACCTCCATCATTAAACTTCCATTCTCTACCGCGCCCAGATACAGAACAGTCTCTACGTCTTCTACAGCATTATATTCGTGACATGTTACAGACGTTTACAGGAACTTACGCTATTTCTGAGGAAGTTAAAAAAGACCCTTTTCACTTCAGTATTCCCTGCTGTGCTTACAGTGGCTAACCGGTGCAGCCCAAGTAATTGGATAAGCAAAGGGAACAGGAATTTTCGGAACTCACTGCTTCTAGGTATAGTGACAGGAATCCCTTAAAGCAATATTCTTAAAAGAACAAGAACAATTTACAATTAAAGTTACTATGCTGCCCAGAGAAAACGTGGCCAATCAGGGTATGTTGTGACAGTAAAAACAGAGGCAGAAGCGTTGAGAACTACTACAGTAAAAAATGATAAATTCGGCATTTGGATAAATAAAAGAAAAAATCAATCTCCAACTTGAGCACTAATTTAACAACAACAATCAAACGAACGTTCTTTAACTACATTTGATCTTTTCTGGGTCAGCCGGTTTGTTTGCTTATGACATCAAAAGTAATTTTACTTGTGAAAATTTTCATCAGTTTCCTCCAGATGTAAGAGGATCTCCTCGGCGCACTCCAGGGAGGGAGCGCCCGTGATTTTCTCCTTCACGCTCTGGAACAGCTGCCTCAGCAACGCCTGCAGCATCGCCTCGTCGTCGCGGGAGAAACAGGCCATCGTCTGTCAGAATCAAACGCCCACACCCATTACTCCGGGTCCGAGCAAACGCCGCACACGGCGCACGCGCCCTCCCACCGAGCCCCGGCCAGCTCGCGCCGTTCCCTGGGAAACCGCGGCGAGCGCGTGGGGGCGTGTCCTTGGCTGCCTCCTTGTCGTTCTCGAAAAACAAGTCACCTTAAACGGGTGTCTGCGAGGCCCCGTCTTTGTTACTTGTCGTTATCAGCCTTTAGAACCAACAGAACTTAGGCCGCCCCGACTAACGGCAAAAAAAAAAAAAAAAAGACTCAGGAAGGATCTGACGTGAGGGCCTGATAGCGGAACCTCAGCGCTACGCGTGACGTCAGCCTGTAGACGTGGCTTCCGCGGTGGGAGGGAGTGTCACCCGATGGCCTTCTGGGACTCCTGGAGGAAAGTTCAGGCTGAATCTCTTTGTATTTTAGGAGTTGTATGTAGGTGGATGAGGAAAGACTATTGGAGTGAAACTGAAAATAGTCTGAAAAGTTTCAATTGATGAGTGATTAGTAATGAAATGTTGCAGTGCTGTTTTCCTCTTTGGATCAAAGAACCTAACTAAAATCTATTGAGCACCCATCCCCTACCAGCACCATGCCAGGAGCTATGAAAAAGAAGGCACACGCATAATCTAACAGATGAAAAATAAATTGACGTATCAAAATTAAAGAAATGTGGCAGGTAAGTGCTGTGTAAACGCAGAATCATGTTTTAACCCAGCAGAGATAGTAAAGCAACAAAAAGAAGGAACACAGCTGGACAAACAAAGGATAGGGCTCTGAGAGAGTCTGGCATATTCAGGGACTTAGGTTAGTAGGATTAGAAAACCAGAGGTTAGGAGGCTAGGAAGTAAATTGGTCACATCCTTAAGGGTCATGTTTGCCACTTCAAGGGCTCAGAGATTTATCCTGCAAGTAGTAGGACACCATGAGATACAGTATATAAAGATTTCTGCAGGAAGCTACAATGGATAATCATGGCCCCTCATCCAATTTCTAGATCTAGATAAATTCCCAGACCTAAGGCCCATTGATTGAAGGGTAGGCTGGATCCCACTGAGGACCTTTTAACACCACCACACGTATATATAAAAATATTCCTCAGATCTCCCCCATTGTGACAAGTAGGATTGCATTATGACTTTCATGGACCCTCAACACTTTTGCCTTCATAGAAACAGCTCTTTCTCTCCCTCCTCCCCATATACATACACTTACATATAAGGAGGCCTGGTGGTGCTATGAGTCAGAATTGACTCGATGGCAAGCTGTTAAGCAATCTGCTGCTGACCGAAAAGTTGGCAGTTTGAACCCACCCCGACACTACAGGAGAAAGACCTGGCAATTTACTTCCATAAATATTACAACCAAGAAAACCTATGGGGCAGTTCTACTTTGTCACATGGGGTTACTATGCGTCAAAAATGACTCAATAGTACCTAACAATTTATGTAGGGGTGTGTGTATATATATCACAACAGAGGGTCCCGGACAAAGCTGAAGAAAAATGTAGAACAAAATTCTAACTCACAAAAAAAGAAAAGAAAAAGATTAGACTCATTGATCTGACAGAGACTGGGGAAACCCCGAGAGTATGGCCCCCAGACACCCTTATAGCTCAGTACTGAAGTCACTCCTGAGGTTCACCCTTTAGCCAAGGTTAGACAGGCCCATAAAACAAAATGAGACTAAATGGGCACACCAGCCCATGGGCAAGGATGAGAAGTCAGGACGGGACAGGAAAGCTGGTAATGGGGAACCCAAGGTCAAGAAGGGGAGAGTGTTAACATGTCGTTGGGGTTGGCAACCATTGTCACAAAACAGTATGTGTATTGTTTAATGAGAAACTAGTTTGCTCTGTAAACCTTCATCTAAAGTACAATAAAAAATAATTAAAAGAGCCAACTATATGCTATTTACCAAAAGCCTAAAAAGTCTTATGGATTTAATTGTGTCCCCTAAAAATATGTGTTGTGAATCCTAATCTTGATGCCTATGGTTATAATCCCATCTGGGAATGGGTTATCTTTGTTATACTAATGAAGCAGGATTAGTGTAGGGTATGTTTTGAGGCAATCCCTTTTGAGGTATAAAAGATTAAACAAGCAAGAGAGCAAGCAGAGATGGGGGAAGACACACGCCAATCCACAGGAACATCTCCCAGGAGCAGAAGCTCAGAAGAGTTAAGGATCTTCCTCCAGAGCCGGCACCCTGATTTCAGACAGCTAGCCTCCTAAACTGTGAGAAAATAAGTTTCTGCTTGTTAATGCTACCCACTTGTGGTATTTCTGTTATAGCAGCAGTAGATAACTAAGACACATAGGAAAAGTTAGAATTAAAAAGGTGAAAAAAGATGAATTAGGTGAATATTGTCCAAGAGAAAACTGGAAGCTATAGTCATACCAGTAAAAATAAAGTTTAAAAAAAGGATTAAGTATATCAAGGGTCACTTCATAATTAAAAAAAAAAAGTTTAATTCAACAGGAAAATACAACAATTATGAACTTAAGTAAGTAAGCAAAGTTCATAGTCTCTCCACAAATTTTTAACATTTTCCATGTTCTGGAAAATGTTCTCCATGTGTTCTTCCATATCCTTGAATAAGGTGCAGTCCAAAGTTGAGTTACTGAGATACTCATGTTTTTTAGGTTTGCTTTTTTTCAGATAGCAAGAAACAGGAAGGAGAAATACAAGAAATTGCCTCACCAATTACACAGTTAGCATTTATGGAGACCTGAACTATCATTGATCATTGTTAAGGATACAACAGCCTCTCAAGATAGCCAGAAACTTTTGTAGAGATCTAATTATCTTTTTGGTCATACTGTAGTAACCCTACCATTTTCATGACTCAGTCTCTGTCCACCTCTCTATCATCTCTACTTCCACTGCTTCTTATCACCTTTTCTCAGTGCCTCCTGCATTCAAAACTCTCTAAAACTCTATAGTGGATGCCATGGTGCACAGCCTAGAAACCCCTTCAAGATCAAGCAGTCATTCCCCCAGTTCCTGGGGGTGTTGGCTGCTGACAGATCACGGCTGAGTCCCTCTTCAGTAATTGCCCTGGAAAAACGAAACTGCAACACCCAAGGTTCCCTACTTGAAGGAGGCCTGTGTCTGATGACTGGTCAATATGGGGACGTAAAGGGCCAGCCCTCTTGCCTCAGTTGGGACAATTTTGAAGCACCAGCCCAGCTCCAGAAATCTTTATAGGACTGGCTGAAATCTCTGTTGCAAGGGCATTACTGTTGAACTTCTCCTTACACCTAGTTCCACTTTCTACACTCCTCCCAGAATTGCTCCCCAGAGCACACCCTAATAAACCTACTGCATACAAATCTCAAATTCTGTTTCCAAACAAATGCTACTTGTTATAGTAAGACACTATCCAATATGTAGTGTTCCTAATGGGATGAGTTTATGATCATCTCATAGCCTGCTGTTTGACTTTTGCCAAGGCACTGATTTTTGTTTCAAACAGATATGGCCACAAAAGCAGGGTCAGTGATACAAAATGTGGTTTTTGTGTGTTTGCTTTAATTTAAAAAAAAGTTAAATTGTAGACATGGCAGGTGCTTGGGAACGCATGGACTTGCAATGAGATAACACATAAAATGCTAGCACACAGCCCTAAATTTGGAAAAAGTGCCTCTTAACTGTTAGATATTATTATCATTGTTACCAATTTTCTAGAACTTTGAATTAGTTATTTTCATAGAACTTGTTGTTAGGTGGCATTGAGTCAGTTCTGATTCATAGCGACCGTATGAACAACAGAACGTGACACGATCCGGTCCTGTGCCATCCTCACAGTCGTTGTTATGCTTGAGCCCACTGTTGTGGCCACTGTGTCAATCCATCTCGTTGAGGGTCTTCCTCTTTTTTACTGACCCTTGGCTTTACCAAGCATGATGTCCATCTGCAGGGACTGATCCCTCCTTACTTAGCCAGGTCCAAATTTTACAATCTATTTTAGAGATCAAACCATTACAAATTTTCAGTTTTGAAATTGCCCCCCTCTCCTTAGGCAATAAATCAAGCTAAATTAGGGTATAATGCTCCAACATCCCTAATTAAAGTCTTTTTTGTATTTGGAATTTCCCATTTTAGAATGGCCTCTGATTTTTCATAAAGGGATATTTTGATATAAGAACTAAGGGCTTTCTGATGAAAAATTCCTCTAAAATTCTGACATTTCAAGTGTTTTTCTCTAAATATGCTCAGAATTTGGCCCAAATATATAAATTCCATTACCAACTAGTATATATTTTGAAAGATAAAATACATATAAGTGGCCATGCAACTAGTTTTTATTTCACTGTGAATTTTTAACAAGATTGATAATCCTGAAAATTGCTTTCTTTTGAGGCTTGCCTTTAGGCTGGGTTCTCTAGAGAAGCAAAACCAGTAAAGCATATACATATATAAGTAGAAGAGATTTCTATTAAGGAAATGGCTCACACAGTTGTAGAGGCTGGCATATTCCAAGTCCATGGTTCAGGCTGGAGGCTTCTCCTGATTCACGCAGCCGCAGGGGCTGGCCAAACCAAGATAGGCAAGTCAGACAGCAGCGCCCTGGCTTACAGGCTGCAAAGGCTGATAAATTCCAAGATCGGCAGGCAAGACAGCAGGTAAGCTACTAGCTCAAGCCCCAAGAACCAGAGGTCACATTAACAGGAGCCAGCTTCAGGATACAGAGCTAGAAGAAAAAGCCCATGAGCCTTGCCAGAAAGTCCACCTATATTGAATGAAGGCCACACCCCTGAAGAAACTTCTTTCAACTGATTGGCTACTCACAGCAGATCCCATCATGAAGGTGATCATATTGTATCAAATCTCATAATGGAAGTGATCACATCATCACACAACTGCCAAACTACATCATAACTGCCAGACCACTGAGAATCATGGCCCAGCAATGTTGACACACAACCTTAACGATCACAGGGCTTTTTAAATGAAAAGAATAGCAAATAATGATAAAGTAGG